AAGGGCCCAAGGATATCGAGCGCCACCAATTCATTGATACGCGAAACCGAAATGGATTGCACTCCCACCATTCGCCGCTACACAAGCATTAATAACAGGTCGTAATTGACGAGCCGGAATCGACAACAATTGAAATATAACATCCGAAATAATGGTAGCCGAGGCACCCGTGCCCACCAAGACATGTACCTCCACTCCCTGCACGGAACCCGATACCGCCGAAGAACCCGCAGCCGCTGCGACCACGTGACGCGCCAATTTCTTTGACTGTGTCCTCGAGCTAGGCCACTCCCGTGCAACCGAACCCTGGTGTCCGGTGCCAACGTTTGGGTTATGCTGAGAATAAGTTAACCCGAATCATCAATGTCTGAGATTGCAAAATGGGCCGGGTGTCTGATGTGTACCAACTCGCCTGTTGGGATTGAGGTTGAGCCGTCGGAGGGGCAGCAGGCGCCGGAGCAGCAGTTGGTGTCAGAGTGCTATCCAGGCATTTCCTCGCGAAATGCCCCGGCTGATCGCAGCGGAAACCTCTGCACCTCCCAGTCCCCGCGGTGACGTGGTCTCCAGCTCCATCGACGGTGTGCAGCATCCTTCTGTCTCCGATTCTACGGCGGAACCGCAGCAGCAACAACCCCCACCGAAGACGCATCGCCAGCTGGCACCACCACCACCTTGCTTGGTGACCATCCCTTCGGTTCCCCGTCGCGGCTGGGGTCCCCTGCCCATGCTGCCATCTGAGACCAAGACTATAGATTATCGTGGGCCTGAAGACACCTGGCAGCCCACCGGGACGTTTGGATGTCTTCGTCACACACAGCTAGGACCACCCCCATGTCTCTAGCCAGTCCCAACATTAGTTCCATGACGAGCGAGTCGAGTGCCTCCGGATTCACGCCAGGGTAAGCAGCACTCGCTAACGCCAACAGAGCGCTGCGATAGGCGAGAGGCGTCTCGACTTCCCCTCGCTTACGTTGAAGAAATTGGCATTGCGTGTCCGCCATCTCAGCATAAGTACCCCGAAGAGTGGACTTATTCTCAGCAAGAGCGTCGTCATTAAAAACAGTCAGCAGAGCGACCAGCACCTCCTCCTCCGTCCAATGTACTGTCTAATATTGTCTAATAGTGTTATTGTATTACATTGCTCTGTTTTTACTTTTTTACCATTTCTTGTTTCATTGTATGTAATGTTTGAGATTAGGGATCAAGAAAGTACAACCATAAGCACAATCATATGAACAGAAATCTATGCATTGATTTATATGAAGACAAGTCCAGATATTGTGGCCAAGGTTCAGCAAATTGTTGTTTTTATTTACATAGCATATCAATTTTGATTACTTTTTTATAGCAATATATTGGGGGGGACATTTTGAGCATATTTGAATATTGGGGGGGATGCGTCCCCCCCAATATATATATTGGGGGGGATGCGTCCCCCCCAATATATATTATAATTACGGCCTTGCTTTAAAGGGTTTTCGGAGCAGCATGTCACCGCGTAGTTGGACACTATGAGCGACGTGGCTATAATATAATTTCCTTCATCATGAGACCTCCTTTGCCAGTAGCAAAATATGATAATAGGTTTTTACCCTTTTATCTGGCAACAAAACTGACACCTTTTTACAAGGGATCATGTTTGCATTAACCACAATACTTGCAGTCAAAATGCAAAAAAAGCACTGATAATATATGCATTGTCCTTGAAATTGATTGGTCCACACCAGAGACAGCTATTCTTAGAGCCTAGTCTCATAATGGTGATGTAAATGCTTACCCCGAGCTCTCAATACTCTGATGGGGCGTTGTCTTTGAGTTGTGCGTCTTTTGGCGATCTGACAAGATCGGGTGCATTCACGGCGATTCAGTCCTAGACAAAGAGTGATGATCGATGAAAGTTCATTACAGGTAATGCCCGTAAATGTTACCGTCAAATACTGTACAACGTTTTTTGACATGGCCAGGGCACGAGCTATGGAATGCCATTATAGGATGTTAAAGTTTACCGTCGTCACAAAAAAAGGAGACGTCATTTAATGGACATTTTTACCCCCTGTTCTTAATGTCCTATTGCACTCAAAGTCATGAGCGGCCTCTACGAGGAGAATACTGAACACGTCTGAAGGAACACACCGGTTGGTTGGAGTGAACAGCTCTGACATCCCTGGGTTAACGCCTGAGTTGTGGTTTATGACCTAACAGCTTCTTCCTTGCCTCCGTCATTGTCACAAGTATCCCGTGGCGATGATGACGAGGCTTTGTAAATATTGGAGGCAATCCATGTTGACTGCACAGTGATTGCTGGTAAAGCCCCAATGTGACAGTTTCCACATCTGTAGGGGTTGTAACTTCAAAAAAAAGTTAAGGGACTTTATTTGCAGTGGGTTTTAAGGAGCAGCTGAAAGTATTTTCCCGATAATTGCCATTAACGAACGCTGTTTTTACAAAGACCCATACACAACCAGCTAACATCTGAGACGAATTTCCCTTCAGGTGTGATCCACGCTAGAATCCTTGCTGGTGGCACCCGCAATGAAGACCACGTCACCCCAATCCTACAGACCCCTCCACTGTCTCGAAGATCCTCCTTGAACCCATGGCTGATTATCTGTCCCCTCTCTTCTCACTCTACTCCCCTCCACTTTTCTCCTACCTCTCCCCTCTCATCTTACTCCACTTCCCTTTAACTGCTCTCTGCTCGGGCAACCGAGGCGTTTTCTACAGCCCCCAGTCAACCTTCACCCAGAAGGAGGTCACTCGGTCTCCTGTGGTGCCCTCATAGTCTGGGATTCCTTTCCCTCAGCCACCCGTGCTGCCGGATTCCTGCCGCTGTTCAAGTCCAGCCTCAAGATCTCTCATGAATCCTCTGCCTGACTGCCTGCCTCTCCCTTCGAAATGAATACGTCTGCCGCTTCTGTACAATGGCTCGAGATGCAGTCACATTTCTCAAAATGTACCTCGCCTATTTTATCCAATTAAACAATTTAACGATCAGTCGCAGCAGCAATTTTTCTTCAAGAAGCGTCAACCGTGACAAGTCATTGGAATAGAAACGGCTTCCCACGGCCGGTTCACCTGACCTGTCCAACAACTACATCACAATGACCAATCTCATCTCGGATGTTACAGCAGGCAGAGAGACACTTGCACAATCTGGTACATTTGCTGGGTCCACAATGTAACCGCACCGAGATAATGGGGGACGTGTGAAAGCCGTCACGTCAACACATCGCGGCCACTGCCAGGGGGACCTCGCCCCGTGACGTGGACCGCGGGACATCAATGCACCTGCACCATGCTCTCGAGTCTCGTGCATGCCTCATACAGAAGAATCCATGCATAGGCCAGGCACCGCACACCACATGCTGGCCAGCACCAGTCTGTGTTAATTGAGATGGCATATTTATTTTATTTCAGTCACAGTCTTAGTCTGCGGATTTTATATATGGTCTTCTATCCCTGATATGACTATGGCAGCCAAAAATGTAGTCCAAATCTGAGTACTGATATGTTGATGTGCGCAGAGTGAAATTTTATTACTCCTCAGTATAATGTTATCAGGTCAACCAATCCGTGAACTCGGTAAATGTTTATTTTTATATACAGTACATATACTCTCTCGCAACTTACCACTTTTGTGATCTTTAGTCCACTGCAGTCTCGAACATTGCGAAATCATCTCAGCCTGCGTCTTCAATCGTCACGGTCAGCACATCGTTCTTTGGTGGCTAGCAGTGACCGTCACCGCCACGCTTGACGAAGTTCATCCGCTCATCGCCGATTGAAATAAAAACACCTCGTCGGCGAACATCACCGCCATTAATGTCACCAACATAAATGCTCCCTGGGCCATCGGGCCTGCCTGCGCTCTTCCCCTGCCGTCACCAGGCCAAGGCGAGCAGAAACGCAGCCGGGGTACGAGAGTATGGGGGCTATGGTGCAAGTCGTGCGCGTTCGCACGCCGGTACAAGGCCACGCTGCTGCGATGCCACGAGGCTGACCGTTGATTGCACACAAAGTGCTTGTAACAAATGAGCCACAATACCTTGCTGATCTCGTCAAATAGCATAAACCACCATCACACGAACTCTAGTCATCTTCACAGCAGTAGCGGCTTCTGACTAACCGTCAGGTGCGCTTTTGCAGCCGTCTGGAACACTCTTCCTGCTGATATTAGGAAGCCAATGGGAGCTATGCACTTTTAAATCTCAATTGAAAGCTCATTTCTTTAGAACTTATATTTGTGTTTAGTTTGTTGTCCTTCCCCCCAAACCTCCGATTAGCATGGTTGGCTACGTACGGTGCGAACGAAGTTCAACATACGTACGTAGGGGTCACCGAGCTGGATCTTGGAGTCAGGTATGATGCGAGACAGGGGAGCCACCAGGTGGAGGAGTCGGCGATCCACATGTTATGTAGCCGGATAGGATCCCATAGAAACAACACACATATCTCTGCACAGGGCAGGCCTGGGGACAAACACAAGGTGATGGCACGGGAAGATCCATGGTAAAGGATAAATATTCCTGAAAAACGTACAAACTGTATGGTGTAGAATGATTTACAAATATACACAAACTAAAATATTAAAATACAACATACAATTAGGACACTTATCATTATGCTCGTTTACCCAGTGTTCATATTATTTAAAATTACATTTTTAAAACTACAGGCAGTTCTCAACTTACGAACACCTGACTTATGAACACCCACACTTACGAAACAGCTTCCATGATATTTTTTACATCGACTTAAAACGCGAACTCGCACTTGCAATCTGAACCGTGGCACTTCAGCGGAGTGATCCTCCGCGAGATGTAATGAGTCAGCCTGGGAGTGTCTGTGTGTGCTCACAAACAGCACTTGCCGCAATGAATCCCACCATCCGAGTTCGGTTCGTTGCCACGTTAACATCGGTGGCGAGTGATATCGGAATCGATTCTGCCCTTAGCCAGCCTGCACTGACCAGCATGGTCAAAAACACCCCATGCCCTACAATGCTTGAGGAGGCAACCATCTATTGGTGGATGGAGAAAATCAGAAATGAATGTGACTTTAAGACTCGTGACAGCACCAAATGAGTTTATATCACACACATAGTCACACGAACCGTGTTGTGCACCTGTTTTCAGGAGTTCATTTTTGAGCGTGCGTGACCAAATATATCCACTGCAGACTCTGAACTCCACTGCAGATTATCACTCAGGCCAATTCCTTTCTTGTACAGTAATGGTCATTTAGCTGGGTGCTTCTGTTTTTAGAGCATATAACTTATAGTTGGAAGTTTGTGAGCTTAAATCGAGGGTTTGGTTAATAAAACTGATCTGTCTTAAAGCTGGTTATTCAGATCAATGGCCCACCAGTAACATTGAAAAGCACTGTAAATATCTCAGTGGCAAAATTATTGAGCTGTATTGCCTTCATACCATGCCCAGTAAAGGAAAGCATGATTCTGTGAATTTAAAACCAAATTTTAAATGTTTTTTTTACAGACGCGCGTCTCGGCTGCAGCTTTGATGACGAGGGGCTCCCACTGTGCGGCTGGACTCAGTCGGGCGATGACGCCGGAGACTGGATCAGGAACTCGGGAGCAACCCCCAACCCCAGCACCGGTCCACCTGGGGACCACACCACCGGCTGTAAGCAGCACTCACATTGTAAAATGGCTGCTTAGAAGATAAACATAAAACATTATCTGGTGGCCAGGTGGCTCAGAAGTCAGAGGACTCGGATAGCACAGCTCGATAAGGTACTGGCCAAGGTTCGAGTCCAGGCCGCTGCCTGTGATTAAACCTGCTTCTCAAGTCTTAGCGAGTTGATGACCTCAGCATGGTTACAAATGACTGCGCACAAAAATCACATCACGTTAAATTTAATTAACACGCTTAATTTGGCAACAGATTCCAGCACTGAAAATGAAATATTTAGTTTGGCCGCTTTGCGATGAGCATAACTCTCATGCAGAGCAAGTAGGAAGTGCTGCCCTCTCCTGCGTGTGGTCCAGAGGTCACTTGAAGGCATCTCAAAGGTAGCTCTTTGATAGCCAATTCTGTGGGCCGTTACACTGCTCTGCAGGAGATATGGATGGACGCGTTGTCTCGTGTTGACGCCAGTAGTATAATCGAGACAACACTGGGGGAACAAACTCACAAAATTCAATGACAAAACCATCTGTTACGAACACTCCGTGTTGAGTCTTCACCTCGGATATTGTTACCTGTTTACTGTTTTACAGAATTATCTGCAGCCTTTAGCTTCTCCTGTTCAGCGTAACACGCTTTTCAGTTGTATATACATATATAAATTCAACAATTAAAGCCATTTTTTTATCATACATATGTAGAGTAGGAGTTAGTGACGTCATGTCACGGTCGCCCTCTGGCACGATGACGTCACGGATGGTGACGTCATGCACAGGGGGCGGGAACCCGTCACGGGTTCAGGGTCGTCTGCAGGGTCCGGAAACGTGAAGGGTGAAAGTCGGGACCCAGGGTAGGGGGAAATTGGCACCAGGCTAGGGTAGCCTGTGGGTGTACTAGGGACCTCCCCAGTACCCTTCCCCTGGGGGAGCGATGGGACCCTGGGGTAGGGGGAAATTGGCACCAGGCTAGGGTAGCCTGCGGGTACTAGGGACCTCCCCAGTACCCTTCCCCTGGGGGAGCGATGGGACCCCGGGGTAGGGGGAAATTGGCACCAGGCTAGCGTAGCCTGCGGGTGCTGGGGAATCCCCAGTACCCTTCGCCTGGGGTGTGGAGTGTAGGCAGTGAGCGTGCAGTACACGGAGTCGTGTGCGAAGAGAGGTCTTTAATAAAACAACTGGCGTAAGCCTTAATAAAACGTGGCGTGAGCCCCTACACGAAGATCTGCCTCCGAGTCATCATTTACGCCTCAACACATACACAATTACGTCTGCATTGCATTTTAACAATGTGCCGCCCAGTGCGTTATAACAAATCTCGTCTATCCATGCGTATATTTTTCGTGTGTATCTTGCAGTTAAGCCGAGACTTTGATTCGTAGATAAGAACACCCGGATGTGCTCCGTTGTTGAACTAAATGTAGGCGATCTAACCCCATGAAACACTATTATGGATGATATTGGTCGCGAAAGCATACGTGTAAAATTTTATACAGTTTTGCTTATTGGTGTCATGTCAAGAGATGACATTTTATTCCCAAATGCCACAGAAAGCGGTGCACCACTCTGGTTTTACAGCAGCTTGTGGGTGATATCGTTAACCTAAAGTACCTTGGTCAATTGCCTCTTAGTGTATGGGTGCTGCACATTCTCATTCAGCCGAATATTGACAATGTTTGCCACATGATGAAGCAAACATTTTGTAACAGAGTGGAGAATATGACACTAAAAGTGATAGAGATTTAAATGAATTAGGTTTTTGCGGAAGTCATGACAGTAGCTGTGCAAATGCGGAGATGTTTCCTGTCGCGATAATAAAGCAAAATCCCGTGCGATGCTCTCTTGCTGTTTTTGATGAAGACACAAATCTGACCAAGCAAATTTACAATTGCGTGGGATTTTACGATCTCGTGTTTTAACTTCAAACAAACACGAGAGACAAAATGCTCACGAGCCTGCCTGCAAGGCCGAAGTGTTTCTTAAAATTTGATCTGAATAAAACTGTAAACAGGTTGAACATTTATATGGAATTTTTTTTATTTTACTAATTACATTTTTAAAATTAATACAAAATGTACGCGATCTAACCCCCAAAACCTCTATTATGGATGTATTATAATTGGTAAACAAATTAATTATAGAACACCTCAGATAATAACTACCTAAGCTAAACTAAACTATTATTATTTCTCAGGTAAAGCCCACCGAGCTCAATTTACACTGTACCTCGTGGTGAATTCATCGTGCTAGCCACAGCTGCTCTGTAAAATCAGGAGGGGGCACTGTGTAGCATGATAAATTAATCCCACTGTCCACACTTTTTTCGAGGGTTAAAATTAGCGAGTTTTCGTGAACGGAATAAAATAAATTTTTTAATGTATTTTGATGAGTTTGAAGTTCTCCCCATCACTCCCCGACCATCGCGGATAAAAAGTCTTCTCCAGACCTCACACAAACGGGCCTGGTATCTGCACCGGGCCCCTCAGAACCTCTGGGCCGGCCCTGCTTGTGCTGCAGTGTAAACTGTCGGCACGTTGTGCCGGTTTGTTTCAGCCTCCTTCTACCTCTACCTGGACTCTGCGTCCGTGGGAGCTGGGGGAGGAGTGAGGCTCCTGAGCCCCAGCATCAACACCAACCAGAACGTGTGCCTGAGCTTCTGGTACCACATGTTCGGCGATGAACTTATGACCCTGAACGTGCACGTGCTGGCGGACGGCGTAGAGAGACGCGTGTGGCGTGCGGAGGGGCAGCAGAGCAGCGCCTGGCTGCAGGGAACCGTCACCATCCAGGCCAAGCCAGACACCCAGGTCAGTGGCCCCTAATACTCACCAGAACCGTCACCATCCAGGCCAGGCCAAACACCCAGGTCAGTGGCCCCTAATATTCACCAGAACCGTCACCATCCAGGCCAGGCCAAACACCCAGGTCAGTGGCCCCTAATACTCACCAGAACCGTCACCATCCAGGCCAAGCCAGACACCCAGGTCAGTGGCCCCTAATACTCACCACAACTTTCACCATCCAGGCCACACACCCAGGTCAGTGGCCCCTAATACTCACCAGAACCGTCACCATCCAGGCCAAGCCAGGCACCCAGGTCAGTGGCCTCTAATAATCACCGGAAACGCACAACAAGGGCCTGATTCATTTAGCTATTCTTGGCTATTATTCTTCCACTTTGAAGAAATTACAGCCATTTTCTTCGAAAATCTTACGTAAATGTTATTTTGAAATTGCCCGTCTGCTAATTCTCAATCTTACTGTGTTCTCAATGCCTCTCGCAGTAGTTGTATCTGAGTGTACCCTATTCAATACGTTTCTGCTCTTTCAATTGCTGTTTACTTATTGTTTTCCAACAACCTTGGATATTTAATATCTTTTTCAAAAGTTGTACCCGTGTATGTTCTGTTATGAATTACAATATTGATCCGATTTTCCACTGTTACAAATTACAGTAATTTTCATTTGAGCCTGGTCCTTCAATACCAAGGATGAGATAATTATGCTTTGCCAACCAGAACAAGTAAAACGTAACTAGAAGCATCCTTTATTCTTTACATTTTACATCCATGCATGTATACAGTTGTTCCTTTGTGAATCAACATTACCGTACATTTTTCTCGTGGTTAATTTATCTGAAAACTATTCACTGTAAAGTACAGGCGTCCCTCCAGTAACTTGCTCCCCCCCCCCCCCCACAGTGCAAATTCACAGTTACACAATTCATTTTTAGGGACATACTTCACACGTACGCTTGGTGTTTCACATTTACGTGCTCTAGAAAAAAAATGTATCAAAATTTTTATAATTATTTTCATTTATAAAATTTTAAGCAAACAAACAATATTTCTGATGGCGTCACGCGTCATGGCAGCGTGGAGCGTCACGCGCTGGGCGTAGCCATCGTAGATCTACCGCCTGTGTCTGCATCGCGCGTGCGTCTGTGAGCAGCCGACGGAAGTGTTCAGGGAGCCCTGAAGTTACTCATTGTTAAGCAAATCTTTGTAAATAGTAATATTTAAATTGTAATCATTAGTATTTGTTATTAAACTTCTTATTAAGTATTTTGTATAATGTTACTATTGTTATCAAGTAATACATTTACTCGTATTTTGTCAACCCAAATTATACTTAATTTTTCTTCGGTAACGCACCCCTCCATATAACATGTATGTCTATGGGAAAATAGTCTTCATACAGCGCGATTCGACTTACGCGTTGTTTTTCAGGAACGCATGTCACACGTTATGCGAAGGTCGCCTGTGTCTGACTCAATATCTCCTCCATCTGCAGGCTATCCTGGAGGGAATTCAAGGAACAATAAGATTGAGTGATATAGGCCTGGATGACATTTCTGTAGCTGACGGAAATTGCTTTGGTAAGATGAAATTAATTATGTTTTATCATTTTACACTCGCTAATTATTAAACATTCACACCATGAAACAGATTTTTGGCCCAGTTGGGGGTCTTATTTTGAGACTTGGAGTAAAAATTCCAATCAGAAAGTACAGTACGCCATCTCCATCATCCCTCTATAGTACTGCTGTAGGACCCCTACTTGGTGAGGAGTCCCCAGTGATTGTCCTATGGAACAACTGGTCCCTGCCAGAGGAAAGTGGAATTTTCACGACTGGTTCAGGACCACAAACATACATTAGTGTGTCATAGAGATTTTTTTGGGTTAGATCGCGTAAAACCTCTATTATGGATGATATTGGTCGCGAAAGCCTACGTGATAAATTAGTGCGACTGATTGGTCGTTTGAGCCGTAAGGTTAGGTTGTGGGTAAGCGACCAAAACACCCAGAAAGCTTCCGAGCTCATCAAACCTCGCCTGCTAAGCAGGCTTGAGCCTGGATGGCGCTTGGATGGGTGACTCCCACGCACAGACAGGTTGCAATAGGGCTATCGGGCCCTATGGCAACCTTCAATCCACGCTGACCTGGGTGGCGAAGTATGGTAAAGAAAAATCCCTCACAACCCACGCGGTGTGGGAAGGCTCTGATCCAGCAGTGGATTTAGAGAAGCTCTAACTGGTTCAGACATTCGTCACTGATGTTTGTCGTGAACGGGAATCGAGCTCAAGTAGCGGGATTAACAACGCAGTGCGTGTTGGATCCCGATTTGGTGGCTGAGTGGGGATTGTACCATCGCATGTCATGATGCTGTGGCGGATTCCTCTTGCTCCTCCCTTAAACTGTGGCTGGTTAGCAAACACTGGGCAGGCTCAGATTTATACTCCATTGCACTGAAGGAAGAACTGTGCGCTGCTGGAAACTCTGCCCAGTTCATGAATCGCACCCTAGAAGTGGCACTACAACAATTTTCTGGCCCAACAGAGCTGTGACTGAATGATATTAAATAAATTCTGCACTATAACCATGCATTGATAAGTTACTAACTTACGACTCACCATGAAATGCAGAACATATATTCTGCCTGTATCTTGTGTGTAATTTAAATGTGCAGTAATTTACCCACGTATTAAAATGTATGTATTCATGTTTTCACCCCACAGAGTGTGTGAGGGGATGTGATTTTGATGAAATAGGGGACTTCTGTGGCTGGGAGAACAGCGGAGGGGACATGGGCTGGGAGTTTTGGAACGGTCCCACAAACACTGAGAACACTGGGCCTGACGATGACTTCTCTCGGCCTGGCTGTGAGTATCTTACAGCGTCGCATCACTCACAGCCTCCACTGGAGCTCCTGGCCTTGAAACCCACACTCAGTACAATGTGAGTCTCGATCACTGTGTTAGTGAATACAGCAGTGTCTCGATCACTGTGTTAGTGAATACAGCAGTGTGTGTGGATCACTGTGTTAGTGCATACAACAGTGTGTGTAGATCACTGTTAGTGAATACAACAGACTGTGTGTAGATCACTGTGTTAGTGAATACAGCAGATTTTGTGTGTATGGATCACTGTGTTAGTGAATACAACAGTGTGTGTGGGTCACTGTGTTAGTGAATACAACAGTGTGTGTGGATCACTGTGTTAGTGAATACACCAAAGTGTGTGTGGATCACTGTGTTAGTGAATACAGCAGTGTGTGGATCACTGTGATAGTGAATACAGCAGTGTGTGTGGATCACTGTGTTAGTGAATACACCAAAGTGTGTGTGGATCACTGTGTTAGTGAATACAACAGACTGTGTGTGGATCACTGTGTTAGTGAATACAGCAGTGTGTATGGATCACTGTGATAGTGAATACAGCAGTTTGTGTGGATCACTGTGTTAGTGAATACAGTAGTGTGTGTGGATCACTGTGTTAGTGAATACACCAAAGTGTGTGTGGATCACTGTGTTAGTGAATACAGCAGTGTGTGGATCACTGTGATAGTGAATATACCAAAGTGTGTGTGGATCACTGTGTTAGTGAATACAGTAGTGTGTGTGGATCACTGTGTTAGTGAATACACCAAAGTGTGTGTGGATCACTGTTAGTGAATACAGCAGTGTGTGGATCACTGTGATAGTGAATATAGCAGTGTGCGTGTGGATCACTGTGTTAGTGAATACAGCAGTGTGTGGATCACTGTGATAGTGAATACAGTAGTGTGTGTGGATCACTGTGTTAGTGAATACAGCAGTGTGTGTGGATCACTGTGTTAGTGAATACAACAGTGTGTGTGTGTGTGGATCACTGTGTTAGTGAATACAGCAGTGTGTGTGGATCACTGTTTTAGTGAATACACCAAAGTGTGTGTGGATCACTGTGTTAGTGAATACAGCAGTGTGTGGATCACTGTGATAGTGAATACAGTAGTGTGTGTGGATCACTGTGTTAGTGAATACAGTAGTGTGTGTGTGGATCACTGTGATAGTGAATACAGTAGTGTGTGTGTGGATCACTGTGATAGTGAATACAGCAGTGTGTGTGGATCACTGTGTTAGTGAATACAGCAGTGTGTGTGGACCACTGTGTTAGTGAATACAGCAGTGTGTGGATCACTGTGTTAGTGAATACAGTAGTGTGTGTGGATCACTGTGTTAGTGAATACAGCAGTGTGTATGTGTGGATCACTGTGATAGTGAATACAGCAGTGTGTGTGGATCACTGTGTTAGTGAATACAGCAGTGTGTGTGTGGATCACTGTTAGTGAATACAGCAGTGTGTGGATCACTGTGATAGTGAATACAGCAGTGTGTGTGTGGATCACTGTGTTAGTGAATACAGCAGTGTGTGTGGATCACTGTGTTAGTGAATACAGCAGTGTGTGTGGATCACTGTTTTAGTGAATACAACCGAGTGTGTGGATCACTGTGTTAGTAAATACAGCAGTGTGTGGATCACTGTGATAGTGAATACAGTAGTGTGTGTGGATCACTGTGTTAGTGAATACAGCAGTGTGTATGTGTGGATCACTGTGTTAGTGAATACAGCAGTGTGTGTGGATCACTGTGTTAGTGAATACAGCAGTGTGTGTGTGTGGATCACTGTGTTAGTGAATACAGCAGTGTGTGTGGATCACTGTTTTAGTGAATACACCAAAGTGTGTGTGGATCACTGTGTTAGTGAATACAGCAGTGTGTGGATCACTGTGATAGTGAATACAGTAGTGTGTGTGGATCACTGTGTTAGTGAATACAGTAGTGTGTGTGTGTGTGGATCACTGTGTTAGTGAATACACCAAAGTGTGTGTGGATCACTGTGTTAGTGAATACAACAGACTGTGTGTGGATCACTGTGTTAGTGAATACAGCAGTGTGTATGGATCACTGTGATAGTGAATACAGCAGTTTGTGTGGATCACTGTGTTAGTGAATACAGTAGTGTGTGTGGATCACTGTGTTAGTGAATACACCAAAGTGTGTGTGGATCACTGTGTTAGTGAATACAGCAGTGTGTGGATCACTGTGATAGTGAATATACCAAAGTGTGTGTGGATCACTGTGTTAGTGAATACAGTAGTGTGTGTGGATCACTGTGTTAGTGAATACACCAAAGTGTGTGTGGATCACTGTTAGTGAATACAGCAGTGTGTGGATCACTGTGATAGTGAATATAGCAGTGTGCGTGTGGATCACTGTGTTAGTGAATACAGCAGTGTGTGGATCACTGTGATAGTGAATACAGTAGTGTGTGTGGATCACTGTGTTAGTGAATACAGCAGTGTGTGTGGATCACTGTGTTAGTGAATACAACAGTGTGTGTGTGTGTGGATCACTGTGTTAGTGAATACAGCAGTGTGTGTGGATCACTGTTTTAGTGAATACACCAAAGTGTGTGTGGATCACTGTGTTAGTGAATACAGCAGTGTGTGGATCACTGTGATAGTGAATACAGTAGTGTGTGTGGATCACTGTGTTAGTGAATACAGTAGTGTGTGTGTGGATCACTGTGATAGTGAATACAGTAGTGTGTGTGTGGATCACTGTGATAGTGAATACAGCAGTGTGTGTGGATCACTGTGTTAGTGAATACAGCAGTGTGTGTGGACCACTGTGTTAGTGAATACAGCAGTGTGTGGATCACTGTGTTAGTGAATACAGTAGTGTGTGTGGATCACTGTGTTAGTGAATACAGCAGTGTGTATGTGTGGATCACTGTGATAGTGAATACAGCAGTGTGTGTGGATCACTGTGTTAGTGAATACAGCAGTGTGTGTGTGGATCACTGTTAGTGAATACAGCAGTGTGTGGATCACTGTGATAGTGAATACAGCAGTGTGTGTGTGGATCACTGTGTTAGTGAATACAGCAGTGTGTGTGGATCACTGTGTTAGTGAATACAGCAGTGTGTGTGGATCACTGTTTTAGTGAATACAACCGAGTGTGTGGATCACTGTGTTAGTAAATACAGCAGTGTGTGGATCACTGTGATAGTGAATACAGTAGTGTGTGTGGATCACTGTGTTAGTGAATACAGCAGTGTGTATGTGTGGATCACTGTGTTAGTGAATACAGCAGTGTGTGTGGATCACTGTGTTAGTGAATACAGCAGTGTGTGTGTGTGGATCACTGTGTTAGTGAATACAGCAGTGTGTGTGGATCACTGTTTTAGTGAATACACCAAAGTGTGTGTGGATCACTGTGTTAGTGAATACAGCAGTGTGTGGATCACTGTGATAGTGAATACAGTAGTGTGTGTGTGGATCACTGTGATAGTGAATACAGCAGTGTGTGTGTGTGGATCACTGTGTTAGTGAATACAGTAGTGTGTGTGGACCACTGTGTTAGTGAATACAGCAGTGTGTGTGGATCACTGTGTTAGTGAATACAGTAGTGTATGTGTGTGTGGATCACTGTGTTAGTGAATACAGCAGTGTGTGTGTGGATCACTGTGATAGTGAATACAACAGTGTGTGTGTGTGTGGATCACTGTGTTAGTGAATACACCAAAGTGTGTGTGGATCACTGTGTTAGTGAATACAGCAGTGTGTGGATCACTGTGATAGTGAATACAGCAGTGTGTGTGGATCACTGTGTTAGTGAATACACCAAAGTGTGTGTGGATCACTGTGTTAGTGAATACAGCAGTGTGTGGATCACTGTGATAGTGAATACAGCAGTGTGTGTGGATCACTGTGTTAGTGAATACACCAAAGTGTGTGTGGATCACTGTGTTAGTGAATACAGCAGTGTGTGGATCACTGTGATAGTGAATACAGCAGTGTGTGTGGATCACTGTGATAGTGAATACAGCAGTGTGTGTGTGTGTGTCACTGTGTTAGTGAATACAGCAGTGTGTGTGTGTGTGTGGACAACTATGTTAACTGTGCTGTGTGTAGTTGGGAATTACCTGCTGCTGGACTCTGAGTACAACGACCCTGGAACGGCGCTGCTGCTGGAGAGTCCGGCTCTCCCCTCCTCTGGGTGCCTCGTCCTGAGCTTCCACTACTTCCTGTATGGGTCAGCAGAGAACATGGCCATCAACGTTTACATCAACAAAGGTACAGAGGCTTTTATCTCAATTACAGCTGTCAGGCTTTGCCAGTAGTTAATCAGTCATGATGTATTGAAGATATGCACTTGTTTTCATTTCAATTTGGATGAAAGGCCATATTGCTAACTAAGGGTTGCTTTAAAGCCAAGATTTAGTAGGCGTTGTGTCCAGATGAAACGGTAGTAACTAAGATCATGTATACGTCTTTAGATAAAATTCTCATTCGTATTGCAAATATTAAATGTTGCTCTACACACTACTGCAAGTACATATGTATGCACAGAAGATATCATATCACTGTCTTGAACACTTCAGTGTACATGTCAGCCAATGCGAACCTGGGAATGTATACATGACTATGGTGGTGCATTTTCACACCTTTTTTCCCATTACTATGGTGTTTTTTTTATTAAGAATGGGTTTTTTTAAACAGACATAATGGTATATTTATTCGTGGTTCTTTCGGTAAAGTCACGTAGAAGGGAAACAATAAAATAATAAAAATATAAAACAATACAATTCTTATGACGTTTTGACTGCAACACAAGCAATCATCATCAGGTGTGAAAACCACAACAAGAAAATTTGAAAAAAGTGGCGGTTATTTTTAACGTTAGCACCACGGAGAGAGATTTTACAGTTTGTTCAGATGGACGAGTCCATCTATGTTTGGAAAAGAGGAGTGGGGAGACGAAAAATAATGGATGCGGTCTGAAAGCCACCTTAAGCGTGATCAATCAATTAAGACCCGAAATGGCTTATCAAATCCTTCCAATGATTGCTAAGCCAGAATCCATCTTCTCGGTTGAAATTGTCTCTATGTTTGTATATGTGGATAGCCTCATGAACGAATCTCTCATGGTAGCCAGATGGCTTGCAAAGAACCTCTGTCTTGGAGAAGTCAATATCATGTGAACCTACTAAATTATAACAGTGATCTGCCACGGCCGAGGTGTTGGTCCTACCGTGTTTCAGGTCTGCTTTGTGTTCACGAATGCGGTCCGAGACATGTCGTTTGATTTCTCCAATGTAACTACTACCACAGAGGCAATTTAGTTTGTAGACGCCAGGGTACTGTATGTCCAGAATCACATCTTTACAGACGGAACCAGATCACGGATTTTATGTACTGTGTTGAATCGGACCTGGATCTTGTGTTTATTCAAGATTTTGGAGATCTTTTTTGTGATACTCGCAATGTAGGGTAAAGTGATGGTTTTGAAAGACTGCTCAAGAGAGTCCTTCTTCATGGTTGGAGTGATAGCTTTGCGGATTGTGTAGTTGGAATAACCATTAGCCTTAAGAGCTTGTTGTACGTGCTTGAGTTCACTGGCTATATGTTCCTGGTCGGATATGCATTGGGCTCTATGGTGCAGAGTCTTGATGAGGGAATTCTTCTGGGATGGATGGTGGTGGGAATCCGGTTTCAGGTAAGCATCCGAACATAGATGGACTCGTCCATCTGAACAAACTGTAAAATCTCTCTCCGTGGTGCTAACGTTAAAAATAACCGCCACTTTTTTCAAAATTTTCTTGTTATGGTTTTCACACCTGATGATGATTGCATGTGTTGCAGTTGAAACGTCGTGATAATTTTATTTTGTATATTTGTATTATTTTATTGTTTCCCTTCTACGTGACTTTACCGAAAGAACCAAGAATATGAATCCCTGCAGTCACGAAAGCTTTAAGTCAAAATATAAACTAAACTCTGTTTAAATGGGGATGATGGTTGTAATGGGGAAGATGGTTTTAATGGGGAAGATGGTTTTAATAGAGATGATGTTTTTAATGGGGAAGATGGTTTTAATAGAGATGATGTTTTTAATGGGGATGATGGTTTTAATAGAGATGATGGTTTTAATGTGAATGGTTTTAATGGGGATGATGGTTTTAATTAGGAAGATGGTTTTAATAGAGATTATGGTTTTAATGGGGATGATAGTTTTAATGAGGATGGTTTAAATAGGGATTATGGTGTGAATGGGGATGATGGTTTTAATGGGGATGCTGGTTTGAATGGGGATGATGGTTGTAATTGGGAAGATGGTGTTAATGGGGAAGATGGTTTTAATGGGGATGGTTTTAATGGGGATGATGGTTTTAATGGGGATGGTTTTATAGGGGATGATGGTTTTTAATGGGGATGATGGTTTTAATGTGGATGATGGTTTTAATGGGGATGATGGTTTAAAGGAGATGGTTTTAATGGGGATGATGAGTTTAAAGGAGATGGTTTTAATGGGGATGATGGTTTTAATGAGGATGATGGTTTTAAAGGAGATGTTTTTTTATGGGGTTGATGGTTTTAATGAGGGTAATGGTTTTAATGGGGATGATGGTTTTAATGGAGATTATTTTAATAGAGATGATGGCTTTAATGGGGATGATGGTTTTAATGGGGATGATGGTTTTATCTCCGTGTAACTTTGTGTATTTGTTTGTCAGTTGCACACCCCTATGCTCCGCTTCCAGCCGTGTAACAAACCTTCTGTATCACCCACAATGACCGCAGCCGTCAATGGACAACCCGTGTGGACTGCTCAGGGAAACCAGGGAGAACAGTGGATTTTAGCTCGAGTCATGTTCCCTGAGTCCGGAAATGTGCAAGTAAGAGAATCCCTTACATGCAATGTAGTTTTGTATGTGTGTCTACTGTATTTGAAGCACTGCCGATTATATATGTGTGTGTGGCTTAGATTTGAAAGGTGTGCAGTTGTATTTGGTGAGGTTCAGATTTGTAATACTAATTAATGAGGTGGGGGGGGGGTCTCAATAACTGCGAAGATTACGACTCAATTAGAATGCACTTTTAATTGTTTACGATTCCCCACTGTGTGCATGGCTATTCATTTGAACACTGCACCACCCTTTATTCAAATCAAGCGTGGGCTGGGGTTGAACACTTTGGGTTGAATACAGCTGAATGAAATCAAACGTTGTGCAAACCCCTGATTCATTTAAAAATTGTGCAATTAATTTAAAGTGTTTAAACTTTCAGAAACCGTGTAAATGGTTTCTGGTTTTTGTGTTTAGTTTGTTGTCCTTCCCCTGCACCTCCGATTAGCACAGTTGGATACGTAGTTCAACATGCATACATACAAATGATGCACGCACGTTTTATTGTTTCTTTATGTTTACATTTCATGAAACTGAACACTTTTTAAAAGAACGTTGCGTTATTAATGAGTTGTGTGCATTTCAAGAGATCTCGTGTCATACATCTCAACTAAGTGCCAATCGTATCAGTTGATTAAACAAATCATGATGCAACTTAGAATTTTTTTTAGTCCATGGGTATTAACCCACTTCATATATTTTAAAATTATATTACCTTGGTTCGTGCATTAAATATGCGTTTGTGTTCCTGCGAGTTCCAATCATATGAATTGGAATTCTGTGGACACTTCCTGGGCTGCACAGTTCGAGAATCCCCAATAATTAAATTGGTGATTTTTGGGCTATTCGAATGGAGACAGGACAATTGCCGTGGAGTTGAATGGGAACTCTTTGACAGCCTAGCAGTTGTTCAGAGAATCACCACCAGATTCCATGCTCTGGATATTCCCCACAGAAAATATAATGAAAGTAATGATGCACGCATTAAACCATGCATGTGAGAATCAACAGTTTAGTTATATAACCTATATGCTAATGTATATATATATAGAGAGTCATTCATTATTGTAATCAAAGCGCGACCAAAAATTGTAAATATTCGTATAGTTACTGTGGGCAATTGTTAGAAGCCTAGGAAATACCATAAATTCGCAATGCAATTGATGATCCCATTGGGCATCGTATTCCATCAAAGAGCCGCATCGCGATTGGGACCAGTCGCAGTGGGAATCGTCCGGCACTGGTCCCTTGATGTTCCCACCAAAGCGTCGCATATATGCGAGTGGTCTCACTCCAACAAACAGCACGATCATTAAAATTCTCACGTCAGACGTCCATTATAATACGTGACATTGCTTTGTATCTGTGTGCAGTTTGCCATCGAAGGAGTGCGTGGAGGGACACCTGAGAGCGATATTGCTGTGGACAGCGTCTGCATCTCAGTCTGTGAGCCTTCAGGTAAATATGAGGTTGTCGTAGTGGCAGTATTCATATAAAACCGTCCTAATTGACATGTGCATTCTAGATTAAATTCCAGGATTACAGCACAGGACACATTGGTTGCGTGTCTCTAGATACATATTTGTAGCTGTATTTGTGATGCCTCATCTTTTGGTACATCACTGTTGGTAATGTAGAAAAATGATTTCCTCTCTAAATGTGTGCCTTGTATTTGTTTCTGCACTCGTTTGGTCATCGATGCACACACGGACCACCTCTACAAACGCGAGAGAATGTTTCACCGGCATTTCCCCTGCACCTCTGATTAGCACGGTTGGCGACATACGGTGGAAAAGTTCAACATACATAGATTAATCACGATGCAAAAGATGTCACTCTACTCCGAAAACCCCAATTACAGCCATATCGTGTGTGGTTGTGTAAAGTTAAATTGTTAAATTTTCAGACGCTACTCATACCATTATAAACTGGCAATTTCCCTGTGAATGAGCATGCTTATGCCCTGTATTGGAGATGTGTTTGCTCACACAGTGGTATTAGTTCTACCATGGCACTGCAGGCTCACGATTGACAAAAGGCTCTTATGGTGTGTTCTTCAAATGGCCTTGCTTAAAGTGACCTTGGCAGTTTACTACAACTGCATACTGTGCAAGACGTAACCAAAGCATGCAATTGCCATCTCACAGCTCTTCGGCACATCCGTCCCATGCCCTCAATTGCCGCAGATAACACCCTCGCCTGCTGTATCATAGGTTCCCATCACAATTACAAATACTACAAAACGATCTGCCGTGCCCTGCCGTCGACATGGGGCATGGTGGCACAGATTTTTCTGATTTGCTAAAAATCACCGTGCTCGCTCCCCATATCTGCACGATTCAAGCAAAAGGTTGCGGCCCTCTGTCACCGTGCTCTTTGCTTGGCCTCCTGTCAGACCGAGCTTCACTGCTCACTCTGCAGCAGCTCCCTCCATCTGTAATTGGATGCAGCAGCATCCAGTCTCCTTCCACCTTCACGAAGCACCAGTAGACACACATTTTTGGCGAGCTTCTTGAGCTTTCTGGGGAACTCCGAGCGAGGCTCCGAGCGTCCTAAGTCGTGCTCGAACTTTGAATGCACGGTCATGAAATTTGAGCGTGTTAAAAGTGGACTATTATTACTCTTTGCTTCTTTCAGTAAAGTCATATAGGTTGAAAAAATAAATAATAAATTGCGACGTTTCGATCGCAATACAAGCACTCGTCATCAGGTAGAAAGGTACAGCAGTAGAACTGCTGAACAAGAAAGGGCTGTTGCAACAAGACGTTATGTATAGGTTTGAGGTGGGTGTCAGCCAAGGGCAAGTCGGCAGGTTCAGAGATGGAAAGGAGCCCCGTCGCCGCACGCACGCACAGCAGCTGCGTTCAAGGGAGAGATTGGCATGTTAATGCAAACGAGCACAATGGGAAATGAGCCCCGTAGTCGCACACGAGCACCGTCGCCGCACGTACAACAGCTGCGTTCATAGGAGAGACATACAGCCTATAGAACAGCGAGAGCTGCCGTTACATCGAGGATAAAGGGGGGCAGCGGTGGCTATGTTAGCTATTTCTGTGACCAGTTACAAGCTAATCACTCAGCTATTTCAATGCTGAATTCTATGCTAATTCCTTTGTCAAGGGGTGCCTCTGCGGATGTGTATACTTTAACTTAGCTATTTTAATGAGCCATTTCAATGCTAAATTATATGCTAATTCCTTTGTCAAGGCGCTTTGTTTCTTCTCACACAGCTTAAAGGTCGTGTTCTGAGCGTGGCTTTTTTCACTCCAGCGCTGTCCTCCAGACAGTCTCGTCCCTTCACCTGATGAAGGCCGCTTGTGTTGTGGCCGAAACGTCGTGATTTTTGTTATTTTATTTTTTACCTACGTGACTTTACCCAATAGAACCAAAGAGTATGGATCCTTGCAGTCACGAAAGCTTTAAATCTAGAATATGTTAGTGAAGATAGCATGTCTGTGTCAGAGGACCGGGCATAGCGCCACTTCGTGGGCAACACAAGCTGCGGCGTTGGCTGCTGCACAGTGAGAGGCCAGCGTATCAACATCGGAGAACCACCGTAACGGTGGCCGTGCCAGTGAGAATTCAGAGAGTCGTAAATAACTGCTAAACAACGGCAGGAAGGATGGAAACATCACAGCAAGTTAAGACTTACCTGGTTAATAACATCCTTCCAATGATTGCCTAGTTTGTACCCATCTTCTCGGTTGAAATTGTCTGTATTTATATATCTGGATGGCTTCAAGGGCAAATCTTTGATGGTAACCCGAAGGTTTGCAGAGTACCTTGGTCTCGGCAAAAAACAATATCGTGTGAACCGACCGCGTTAAAACAGTGATCATCCACGGCAGAGGTATTGGTTCTGCCATGTTTCAAATCTGACTTGTGTTCGCGAACACGGTCCGAGACATGTCGTTTCGTTTCCCCGATGTAACTGCTACCGCAGACACAACTTAGTCTGTAGACACCTAGGTATTGCATGTCAGGAATCACATCCTTCACAGAAGAGATCAAATTACGGATTTTGCGTACTGGACTCTTTGGTTCTTTCGGTGAAGTCACGTAGGTATAAAATAAAAGAAATCACGTCGTTTCAGGCGCAACACAAGCGTCCGTCATCAAGTGTGAAAGCATGGTCTGCTGCTGAAGCAGACTGTTTTAAAAGGTTTGAAATGGGTGTAGCCCAAGGGTCATAACGAAGTGGCCGGGGCTAGTGATGTTAATGTGAGAAATTAGTATGTAGCTGTAAGATAGAAGGAGAGCGGCCTCCTCGACGAGGGCATGGAAGTGCAGTTGCATCGGGCGACTCCTTTCCATCTCTGACCCCACCTACTTGCCCTTGGCTGACACCCACCTCAAACCTATACATAACCTCTTGTTGCAACAGCCCTTTCTTGTTCAGCAGTTCTACTGCTGTGTCTTTCTACCTGATGGCGATTACTCGTGTTGCGATCGAAACGTCGTGATTTATTTTTTCTACTTACGTGACTTTACCGAAAGAACCAAAGAGTATGCATTCCTGCAGTCACGAAAACTTCAAATCAAGATTGGACTATTATTGTTTCATCATTGCAGCATTAATATTGATGAAACACTGTGCATAACACAGCAGATAAAAGAGTGCTCTTATGAATAAATGTTGGGTGCGTCGGTTGACGAGTACCGTCCCATTGTCTTTATTTCATGAACTGAAGCTCCAACAACGCCGGCACCAACGCCACCACCTACGCCACCACCTCCAAGTGAGAATTTGCAGTGGAGTGTGCGGTTCGTCAGGGAGAACCTAAACGCCTCATCGGTTTGAGGCCTTGTGCTGTACTGGTTTACAGTGTCAAGTCGCGATGTTTATATTTCTACAACGAGTGTTGTGGTGGGACAGTGATTAGCGCATTGCACTATGAACAGGGGTCACGTCGGTTTGATTCCTGGCCACGGCTAATATCAGTGGGAAGTGATGCTTGAACTGGTCCTGCCTCACAACCCCCCCCCCCCCACCCTTCATCAATCGGCACTGACCAGCGTGGTGAAGTATGGTTAAACCCACATTACTAATATGGCCTGGGGGAGGCCTTCATCTACAGTAGCAGTGCATTGATAAAGGGCATGTTATATTTTTTCATGATTATCCATGCAACCTTTCAGTTCCACAACTCCGATTAACACAATTAGCGACATACAGTGTGAAAGAAGTTCAACATACGCACATACATACTATTGTGGCTTTATTGATGTTGAACAGAGCTATGTCATCCGAGAGACATGATTGAGACGTAATGTGCACGGTCATACCATCCCGGCCATCATACTACAGTAGTATCATAACAGATGTCATAAACTAAGTAGTATGAGTAATAGCAGTATTTAATAAAAAAAATATGTTTTATATATCCAGTGATAAAAAAGTCATATCTGAAAACTTTTGGTCCCGCATAATTAGGCGCAAAAATGGAAAACTTATATATTTTAAACAATCTTTGTTTTAAGTGTTCTATGGTACAGAGTATAATTGACATAAGTTTAAATATAACATGTATACATGTTTCTTTCAGATCCCAAATTTCGGAGTGTGCTCAAATGTTTAACTATTCTTTTTTCTCATGGAAGTCTTATCTAGAGGTTTTAAAGGTGCTGAATCCAAATAGGTGTCATTTTAATCAATTATATGTTCATATACTTCTGGGAAACGTGCGATGTTAAAGCTGATGGAAAGCCAGCAAAGCCTGCTGCCAATTCCCAGCATATATGTACGTGCTGGTAACATTTACAACCGTCACTTGTATTATGCAATGATGTTCGTAACTTTCAGAACCAGGACACTGCAGCATTTGTGGAGACCCTCATTACTGGACATTTGACGGGGTCGCCCACGACTTCATGGGCACGTGCACCTACACCGCATCCATCCCGTGCAACCAGAGCTCCAACCTGCCCCACTTCAACGTGGAGACGACAAACGAGCACCGTGGCGGCAACACGGCCGTGTCTTACGTCAAAGAGGTCCACGTGGAGGTCTACGGCCACAGAATCACCTTGGGCCAAGGGCGCCGGGTGCTGGTGAGGCCTGCGCTTGCACAGTACCTCTTGTTTCTTCATTGCAGGACCGAGTCCCACCAAGCTCGCCGGTCCCACTCAGCAGGTGCCAGTTTGTTGCTGCACTGTAAAACCCAAGGCTGTGACGTCACACACACAATGAACGTGACGCTTGCAGATGATGCGGTGACGCCGTGTCCTATGTCCTCACGTCACGCATTTAAATGTAATTGCGGTAGAATATCATCTCGACTGTGTCAATTGTGTCACCTCTGTTGTGCAGGTGGATGGGCTGCGTTTGACTCCTCCGTTCTTCATTTCGGGGGTGTACATCCAACTGAGTGGATCCTACGTTGTGCTCGAGACCGATTTCAATCTGGTTGTTCGGTTTGATGGGAACCACCATGTGGAGATAGTCGTGCCTGGAGAATACACGGGGGAACTGTGCGGCATCTGCGGTGAGTTGATCTGCTGAGAGAAGTGACACAATAAGCAACTGACTTCACACTGTAGAATTAATAAAATCTTAATGTGATTGCAGTTGACAGAATATGCAAAGATATCAGCCATGGATGAGCTGCAGTAAGGACCATTGAGCATTATCAGCCACGAATTCTAACAAAAATGGAAAAGTTAAATAGGCATTTCATCGAGCAAGTGCCATTTTTCACATAAACCATTTGAATTGCAACTACTAATGGAACGATTTGTGTTGTTTTACAGGGAACTTTAATGGAGATGGCTCAGATGACAATCTGAAGCCAGATGGGTCAGCAGCGGCCTCATCAAGCGAGCTGGGAAACAGCTGGAGAGTGTTCAACAGTTCTGATGATGAGTGAGGATCCGTTCTTCTCAACTATTTCCATGCGTGTCTGATAATTACAACAGTGCCATTGCAAAAGCCTCTGGATAATACACATGGAAGGCATTGGTATTGACAGCCATTCGAGCTCGAGATAGACAAGAAGTGCCAAACATGGGCCCCATGCTTACATTAGATCTGACTATTGTGCCACTGATGCTGTATTTGTGTCAGCTGTTTGGGCTACAGTGAGTTATCTTCATGATGATGATGGTAATGACGACTGTGACTATGTTCCAAGTGATGTTTTCTCTTTCAAACTCGGTGAGGTTAACCTGCGCGTGTGTTTGTTGACAGTTGCCAAGATGATACCGGGGAAATACCTCCATGTGATGAGAATGACAAGAACCTGTATGAATCGAATACGTTCTGTGGAATAATCACTGGCCCTGAGGGTGGGTATTGCTCTCTGTTAAGTTCAGCTGTTAACTCATAACTATGCATGAGAATGGACTTCATTAGATTGCAGACATTGTGGCATTTCCACTCCATGGAGCTATACCCACAACAAGTTTACCTGTGTGATGGGCATTCAATTCTAGTTGGCATAATGCTTTTTAAAATTGTTATCACTTTAAAATATATAGAGGCTAGGAAATTCTTATTACACGTATTTTTTTCAAAACTATTTCGCGATCCATGATGAAATTGTTTCTACAGATAATTAGCGTTCAAAGTTGTTTTGCTATTAATGGGAGCACAGTGCACAAACCATTTCACCGCTGCTGCATCAAGAGGAGTGATGTGCCAATGCTGCTAACACTGACATCGTATTTCTCGCTTCCATCAGGAGCTTTCAAAGAGTGCCACGCGGTGCTGCCTCCACAAGTCTTCTTCGACAACTGCGTGTTCGACCTGTGTGCCACGGGTGGGGACCACGGCTCGCTGTGCCAGGCCCTGCAGGCCTACGCCGACCAGTGCGCCCAAGCTGGGGTCATCGTCACGTGGAGGAACAACACCTTCTGCCGTGAGTGCACCGCCTGCTGTGATGTCACCGCCACACTGATTGCCCAGCCATGAAATTTGATTGTGATTTGATGGACATGTGATTGTAAATCTGATAATCTATAGATGCCTAGATATACCGTGGGATTTTAATATGATAAGTGAAATTCAAACCTAACTAGGGTTTTCCATTGCATGAGAGACGCATTGTTAATAGTGCAGGTGTATTAACCATAAATACTCACCATCTGCTTTACATTGGACGCTACAGATTCCCTGACATTTTAAACAAAGTAGGCTTTTGTGTGATGGTGTTGTTGAAATTTGCCAAATGTGTAAAATGATCTGCCAATTACTCGATCTGGATTACAAATAACAACATTGCTCTTACTGGCAGACTAATTCCGATGACAAGCTGGTGCTCAGTCACCTTGTGCTGCCCAGAGTCAGCTGCCAATATCCAGCCGCCTTTGAATATTTACGCGATCTAACCCAAAACAACCTCTAGTATGGATATTGGTCACGAAAGCCTACGTGTAAAACCGCCTTTGAATGTTTGAGATAATATGTGGCTCAAGGTGTTTTATGTTTTGAAGTATTTAAGCACCATTGGAAATTAAAGATTAGTCAAGATTATTGTTGTGTGTGACACCCACAGCATTCCCGTGTGAACCGGGCAGCCACTATGAGAGCTGTGCCCCACCGTGCCCGGCCACCTGCAGCAACGCAAGTCTCCCGGGTGGCTGCAACCAGCAATGTGCAGAGGGCTGTGTCTGTGACGACGGCTTTGTCCTCTCTGGGGACAAGTGTGTCCCTACAGATCAGTGCGGTTGCCTGGATAACAATGGCCACTACCATCCGGTGAGCTAAGCAAAGATATGTACGTAAATCCCTATCCTAGGATTTGTGTTTGATGCAGGCCAACACAAGTTTGAATCTTCCTTAATAAAAAATAGGATTTCAAGTCACAGTCAAAAGCATTCATGTGTTTTTATTTATTTACTCGTCATCATAATAATAGCTAAAAGGTCAACTGAGATGTTTCTAAAGACATTGCATTTGTATCTCAGCTCAGGGAGAGCTGGTTTGAGTCGCATGACTGCAGCAAGCGCTGCATCTGTGTCAATCCTGGCGGCAATGTGAGCTGTGATGCCTGGGTCTGTAAGGACGATGAGATCTGCAGTGTGGAGGATGGCATCCTGGGCTGTCACAGACAGGGTGAGTGCTTCCTGCGTGATTTTTCAGTCTACATATAATGCTATGAAACATTGTTCTCCAGGTCTAGATGATCACACCCCAAAACTGTACACTAATTTATCCAGTGTAATGGTGTGGAGGGGTTTCCCGGATAAAACTAAATATGGATAATTCAAAACATATAAATTCTACAAAAACATGTTTCTTACTTAGATAGAATAGGGATGCATACCTAATAATGACTTCTGTAGCGCCGTAACATAGCAAGCCATTGGAAGGTTGCTGAACAGAATGTATGTAGAATGTGTTGTCTGTCTTTATTGTTTCGTAAAAGAAGTATTTTGTTGACATGTTGAATTATTGCCATAGCATATGCAATAATTAATCATGAAGCAGGGGTAGCTCGGAATTCAACCAGGCCATACGTAAAACTTAACATGTTGTTTTACAATCATGGTTGACCTGCCCACTCATAATGAGCATTAACTGAAAATGTGTCCAAAATATTATTCATTGTGTAGTGGGTCCAACGGAGTCGCAGATGTTCCTTTTAGAGGCAACACTTTTATTTGTAACACCATAACACTGTAACACATAGGGGTAACTGCCCCTTTACCAGACTACAGCGAGTTACTGCTACGAAGGGTCGATCCCTCACACGGGTCTCCGACCACATGGATGCCTTGTAGGACGGAGAGCTTCAGCTTGAGACGTAGAGCTTCCCGCTTGTAGATGTTGAGCTTCCAGCTTGTAGAATGCAGTGACCCTGGTCCCTCTCAGGGACCCGCCTTATATCCCTCTCTGGTCAGGGCCACTCCGCCCTCGGCCCTGCCCGCCTTCCTGAACATTTTCGTTCCCTCTCGAACCTTCTCAAGAGCTCCCTCCGGACACGTGATCACCCACCAGTCCCCCCACCCGGGGCCCCCTGTGTGGACATTCCGGATCACGTGTTTACGGGGTCAACCAGAGTGCCATGGCTCGGGGCAACCCTGCCCCTGGGCTGACGCTCACCCCCTCCCCCTCGAGGGAGCCCCCACCACATGCTGTGTGTGGTGCCCGCACTATCCCAGTGTTCGCCAAGCACCGCTAGGGCTGGTACTACACACAGCCACCCACACGGTGCTGTCCACGATGTACAGTAGGAACATCGAACGACACGACCCTTCCGGGCCGGCACCATACAGTGACATCCCTGATGTCACTACATCACCCCCCCCCCCCCTTCGTAGTATCCAGCCGTCCCGGCTGTCAACTCCCCCCGCAATGAACAATAAATGAAATGCAACAAGCAAAAAAAACACTGTGCCTCAACAATAATAAGAACAGATATAAATACCCCAACCCACCTGTACAAAAATTACACTATATACAAATGTACAAACCAACAGGGAGAAGAGTGGAAACCAACGAAACCATAACCACACCATCTTAACAACAATATAAAAGAACAGTGTGAACCACGGGATCCCCCATTAGCATCAGATCTCCCACCTTCATCGTGTAACGACGGACGCGAGCACAATGGCAGCAAGGTTAAACCAATGACCACCGCGACTCAGCGAGCGCAACAAGCAACCGAAAGCTTGGGAGCGAGCGTACAAGTGAATCACGATACAACACCATACCAACAATAATAAAAAACGTGTAATACACGGGATCCCCCATAACCATCACACCTGCCATCTTCATCGTGTAACAATGCACTTGAGCACAATGGCGGCCAGGATGAACCAATAACCGCCGCGACTCAGCGGGCGCGACGAACAACCGACAACGCGGGAGGGTGCGTGCAAGAGGATCGCGTACGAGTCTTTGAGCAGATCCGTGATGCCGGGCCCCCCCCCCACAGGGGAGGTGGCTCGCACCACTGGAGGAACCGCAGGGAATGTGTCAATGTTCCGCCAGACCCGGCTCCTCACAAAGAGCAGCAGGCCAGGCCGGCAGGTCCATCCCCCTCGAAGCCCGCGAAACCGGCACGCGCGACCGTTCAGGGGATGCCGGACGCACTCAACACTCCGCCCCAGCAATATGGAGATGAGATGAATTCGCGCGGCATGATGACCGGTTCAAGGCGAGAGGGGCGGACAGTACAGCAACTAATCACATCTCTGGTTCGTCACGTGCAAGGCTCCACACTCGCATTCCCAACAACGCCCCCAACCGGACGTGCTGGAGCCGCATGAGCCAACCCCGTACTTTCCTGAATGATCTTGGTGTCCAACCCAGCATTTTGAACCTGAACACAAGGTTCCTGGTCATCAGACACCAACGTTTGTGCTATAGCTCGGTACCCCGCAGTACCCAAATTGAGCGGCTCCCTCAAATGGAGGGGAACAGACATTCGCGCCGGGCGGGATTTCCCCCGTTCGGCGCGCGGACATTTGTACCGTAGCGTAAGCCGCACACAGCCGGTTAGGGGAAGGCAAAAACGCCAGACTACAGGGCTGCTGTAACTGCAGACCCCCTTTCCTGCCAGCAGTGTAACATTCTCTATGTAATGAAGGCACCGAAGCCCCTCCTTTCGAATCAGCACCAGCTTCTCCACAGTTTTGAGATCTTCACTAAAAACTGCTGCCACTGCTATTCAGTGGCCTAAAATAAAATATTTCGCTTCGGATGACCGCTGCAAAGTATTATCTGTATTTTGATTTAGTGTGCTGATCTTAAAGGTGCATTGAAAAATGTGATACTCCGACTGATGCTCCTGTTGTTTGTGGAGTGACTCATGCAGCCAGCTGTGGCTCTAGGGTTTGGTGTTACATGTTTTTTACGTAGTTTATTGTTTAAAATTCGGTCACAGTTCCTATGATCACTGTTACATTGCATTTATGGCTTTATTTTGGTGATTTCTAAAAGTTTTTTGGTTTACCCATGTTTTTGTTTATGGTAGTATGGAGTTATACTGATGGCCTTAATCTAAGTTTTCTTGTTGTTGTTTGACTTGCATCCCACTGGGATTTTTGCACACAGCGTTGGTGTACGGTGCTATTTCAGGAATATTTTGATGTTTTTTCCTGGATTTTCTGTTTGCACAGTCACATAGTCACTTTAAGATGTTTTTTTTGTTAATGTTTTTGTTTTTTGTTTGTTGCGGTTGCACCCGATTCAAGAGCCAAATGGCTCACAGGGCTATACCAAATAAATGAAAACTATGAAACTATGTCTACAGATTTACCAGCAACTGAATTTCCAACAGCAACAACAAAGTCACCATCAGCAATATCATCACCAAGTAAATGCACGCATTATAAAGATGAAAATACTACAGCACTACATCAAGACATTTTACAACGAAGCATAATTCATTTTGCTGCAATAATAAATACAATTCTATTGTGTACACTCTTGCACTTAAAACCACACGCATAAACCGCTTTCAAAGATAATAAAATACAGAACAATAATTTATCGAGACTCATTCCAATTTTAATGCTGAAAGATGTATTTTTCACAATGACGACTGAAACACCAAAAAAACATACATTTCCCTGCTGTGCTCTTTGCTATATAAAGGCACCGAGGCTCCATCGTTCGAATCAACATCAGCACCAAATTCTCCAGCAGGATCAACAACAGGTAAATATGCCCAAAACAAATGACACTGAGATCACAGCACCGTCATTGTTATTGTGCTTATTTCTAACAATGCCTGATGGTAAATTATATTTTTTAAAGGTTCACGATTATTATAAACATAAATATTATCCTTCACAAATAATTCAATTCTTGCCTGTAACGTTCTGTATGCAATGAAGGCACCGAGGTCCCACCTGTTGAATCCTCTGTGTCTAGAGATGTACGAGCAACTGCATTTCCTACATAAATACAATCACCATCAGCATTATCAACACCAATTATATATGCACAGCACAGACATCAACCTGAGATTACAGTGCTCTTAACTTTCACAGTAATGATGAAAGTATCATAAATGAGAGCCTATGGAAATAATATCCAATATATAAAATGTTTCGATTTAAAGCATTCGTGACTGCAGGGATTCGTATTCTTGGTTCTTTCGGTAAAGTCACGTGGAAGGGAAATAATAAAAGAATAAAAATCCACCAATTAAATTCTCACGACGTTTCGATTGCAAAAAGAACCAAGAATATATAAATTGTTGCTTCATTAGGAATTATAAAATGTATATCAGGCTAAAGAATCAGTATTATAAATATAAATGGCAATTCCAAATGTTGTGTTTTTCAAAAACAGGCATAAAACTAAATTTCGTAAATCATAATCACTTGAATAATAATAATACATTTAAAAGAAATTACCTTTTCTGGGAACTCACAAAAAATATATGATTGTTGGAATGAACTGAAATATGATGTGGAAGCGTTAGTGTTGTACTGCAGGGATACCACGGATGGATGATGCAACCTCCCTGATGCTTCTCGTTTGATCTCATTGCACGTGCCGTTTGAAATTTAGTGAACGCAGAATTCGATTCCGTTGTGTTAAATATTCTAAAAGGTTCAATAATTGAAAAGTGTCCATAATTAGTTAATTCTGTAAATGCGACATTTCGTCAAGCAAACATTCCTCCCATTAGCATCGACGCCCGGACCAACTCGTCCGCCAGCAAGCACGACCACGACCAATACGACAGCAGCTCCTCCAAGTAAACACTGCACACACAGCACACGCTTTGGTATATGCCAGTGACTGAGAGAGTGCCCTTAGATAGAAATGGATAGGCTGATGGCTTTATGTCTGTGAAAAAAAATGTTTTCAGTATTGGAAAGTAATTGGAGTGAAGTGATGGTTTGGGTCACACCTGATTTGATCTTGATCAGATGGTCAAATCCAGTTTTATTGTCTGAATAGGATCAAATTCTATCCCCAGTTTAGTAACAAGATATCCCCCCTCCTCTTTTCAGAACATAGATGGACTCGTCCTTCTAAACAAACTGCCAATTCGTTGCCCGTGGTGCTAACGTTTTTTTAAAGTAAATAAATACAAACACCGCTTAAAAATAAATAAATAAATGCGAACCGTCACTTCTTTCAAATGTTTCTTGCCGTTGCTTTTCACACCTGATGACGACCGTTTGTGTTATGGTCGAAACGTCGTGAGAATTCTTTTTATTGTTTTATATATATTTTATTATTTTGTTTCCCTTTAACGTGACTTTACCGAAAGAGCTAAGAATAACAAGATATCCATTACTGAATATTTTTTTCCAACATGCGATAACTCTAGAGGGACACAACCAGAAATCACACCAGGATATGTGTTTTTATAGGATAATTATTGCAGGTTTATTGGTTCATGATGACATAAAGAGGCAAACGAGCTGAAGAGGAAATATATCAAACAGTGCATATTACACTATCAGTGATAGATCAGCAAAATTGAAACTGACTAAAAAGTCCATAAATAAGCACGGAGTAGTGCATGCTTGATATTACACTCGGAGACAGAAATAGAAGCACATGGATCAGAGAACATATGCCGGTTGAAGTTTACAACTGAATTTTGATTATAACTCAATCTCTGGGTTGTCGAGGAGTGTCTACCAATTACTACAATTTTTGGGTGGTTGTCTTGATTTTATACAATGCTCTCATAACGCAGTTACTTTATTCTTATCAAATGTGTGGCTACTTGTACCAGATATAATATGACCAGCCCATGAAGATGTGATGAGATGTTTAATTAAATTGTTAAACATCAAATGCTGTATCTGACGAATCGTGCACCACTATGCATCATATGCCACTTTTGTGAAAAAAATACATTTTATTTATCTAATTCCAGAACCTGGTGACTGCGTGATCACTGGAGACCCTCACTACATCACGTTCGACAAGACGACGCACCACTTCATGGGCGAGTGCACCTACACGGCAGCCGTCCCGTGCAACCAGAGCTCCACCCTGCCGCCCCACTTCAACGTGGAGACAACAAATGAGTTCCGGGGCGGCAGCACGGCCGTGTCTTACGTCAAGGAGGTCCACGTGGAGGTCTACGGCCACAGGTTCACCTTGGCCAAAGGACGCCGGGTGCTGGTGAGCGTTACACTGTACCTTCACGGTGCTGGTGAGCGTTACACTGTACCTTCATGGTGTTGGTGAGCGTTACACTGTACCTTCACGGTGCTGGTGAGCGTTACACTGTACCTTCAAGGTCATGTCTATGGGTTGCCAAACTCAGGCAGATGCTAAAGGGGAAAAAACCCAAAGTTTACATTTTCTCCTTTGGCTGAAAAAGGCAAACTTGTCTCCCAACTGTGCTGCACAGTATACCAGAACTTGCTAACCTGATGAGTGCCCACTGAGAGGGCAACTCTCATCAATAATAATTATAGCTCATATAGCATCTTTCACACTCATTGTAAAATATCATAAAATACATCAATTACGATTAAGAAGTGGTTAAGTTAAAATAAGATGCTTTCTGAAAGATATATTTTTTTAGGCAGGAATGGACAAACCTAAATTTCGATTTAAAGCTTTCGTGACTGCATTGATTAATCTTCTGGGTTCTTTCGGTAAAGTCACGTAGAATGGAGATAAAATAATAAAAATAATAATAATAGAATACAATTCTCACCACGTTTCAGCCACAACACAAATATGCTTCCTCAGGTGAAGAAACAGGACTGTCTGGAAGACAGCGCTTGAGTGAACCCTGCCAAGCTTGACAGCGTCTTTTAAGCTTTGTAGGAGGAAGAGAGCGCCTTGACAAAGGAGTTTACATATAAATTAGCATGTAACTGGGGGATTAGCATGATGTTGGTGTCGGAACGGAGGAGGGGGAAGAGGAGTTTACATATAAATTAGCATGTAACTGGGGGATGAGCATGATGTTGGTGTGAGGGATTAGCACCACGGAGAGTGACGAGCTTTGTTCAGACAGACGAGTCCATCTATGTTCGGAATGGAGGAGGGGGGGGAAAGAGGAGGAAACGGCCACAGTGCGTTGCTCTGTCCTGTGTTGCGTTATGACTATGCTATAAACGAGACTACTATACATTACAATATTATACCTTCCAATCTAAACTACATTGTATAATGTATCCATGGACAAACCCCACCCTTGAATTATACAATGCGTTACTATACACTACCCTATACTTTAGACTATAAAAGATTAGACTTGTATTGTTACACTATGTATTATTCTACTAACCCTACTGTATACCACACTGCTGTATATTCACTATACAATTATGGTACTATATATTGCCTTATGAATTATGTTAAACATTACACTGTTATACTATTTATTATTATACAAAATGCTATAAACTATACTATTGACCGTCGTGTGAAAGGTACTAAGAGGCAGTGCCAGCGCATAGACTGCGGTCTGAAAGTCACCGTAAAATACAAACAATCAAGAACCGAAATGGTTTATAACGTCTTTCCAATGGTTACTAAGCCGGAATCCATCTTCTCTGTTGAAATTGTCTCTGTGTTTGTATATGTGGATAGCCTCATGAACAAATCTCTCATGGTAGCTGGATGGCTTGCAGAGAACCACCGTCTTGGAGAAGTCAATGTCATGTGAGCCCACTGAATTATAACAGTGATCTTCCACGGCTGAGGTGTTCGTCCTACCGTGTTTCAAGTCTGCTTTATGTTCACAGATGCGGTCCGAGATATTTCGTTTGGTTTCTCCAATGTAACTGCTACCACAGAGGCAACTTAGTTTGTAGATGCCCGGGTACTGTATGTCTGGAACCACCTCTTTTACAGATGGAACCAGATCACGGATTTTATGTACTGTGATGAATCGGACCTGGATCTTGTGTTTATTCAGGATTTTGGAGATCTTTTTTTGTGACCCCCGCAATGTAGGGTAAGGTGATGGTTTTGAATGGCTCCTCAAGAGGATCTTTCTTCATGGTTGGAGTGATGGCTTTGCGGATTGTGTAGTCGGAGTAACCATTAGCCTTGAGAGCTTGGTGTACATGCTTGAGTTCACTAGCAATGTGTTCCTGGTCGGAAATGCATTGGGCTCTATGGTATAGAGCAGTGGTTCTTAACCTGGGTTCGATCGAACCCCAGGGGTTCGGTGAGTCGATCTCAGGGGTTCGGCAGAGCCCCCGCCACGGAGGTCCGGACACACTTGAATTATTGTGTAAATTTGTGATGACACACACGGCCCGCTTGGCCATCACTGGCTGCAGATGATCATGCTACACTGCTTGGCCAATCAGCGCTGCGGGGAATTTAGTGCGTACTCAGTAGTCAACGTGTGACTGTTGTTGTCGTACGTCGTGTGATTTCTTTAATATTTTATCCATACTAACTATGTCGGGCAAAAGAAGAAAGTGGTCGGACGAATATGTACAACATGGATTCTCATGTATCACGGAACGTGATGGGAGTGAGCGTCCTATCTGCATGATTTGCAACGCCAAGTTGAGCAACTCTAGTCTTGCACCGGCAAAACTAAAGGAACACTTCTTGAAGCTGCATGGAGACGGGGAATACAAGAACACAACACTTGCTGAATTCAGGGTGAAGAGAGCCAGATTCGATGAAAGGGCCACTCTGCCTGCTCTTGGATTTGTACCTGTTAACAAACCGATCCTGACAGCATCGTACGAAGTTGCTTACCTGATCGCAAAGCAGGGCAAGCCACACACCATTGGTGAAACACTTGTGAAACCAGCTGCATTAAAGATGGCGAATCTGATACTCGGAACAGCGGCCGAAGGTAAATTATCCCAAATTCCCCTTTCCAATGACACCGTCAGTGACAGAATAGAAGACATGAGTAAAGACATCTTGGCTCAAGTAGTCGCGGATCTGATTTCAAGCCCGGCAAAATTCAGCCTTCAACTCGACGAAACCACAGACGTTTCTGATCTAAGCCAGCTTGCTGTTTTTGTACGCTATGTGAAAGACGACATGATAAAAGAAGAGTTTTTATTTTGTAAGCCTCTTACAACAACAACGAAGGCAGCCAATGTGAAGAAGCTTGTGGATGACTTCTTCAGAGACAACAATCTTTCATGGGATATGGTTTCTGCAGTTTGTACGGACGGAGCTCCAGTCATGCTGGGAAGAAAGTCTGGTTTTGGTGCGCTAGTAAAGGCCGATGCACCACACATCATTGTGACGCATTGTATTATGCACAGGCATGCGTTGGCAACAAAAACCTTACCTCCAAAAATGGCAGAAGTATTAAAAACTGTGGTGGAATGTGTGAACTATGTGCGAAAAAGTGCTCTGAGGCACCGCATCTTCAGTGAGCTGTGTAAAGAAATGGGCTCTGAATTTGAGGTACTTCTGCTCCATTCTAATATTCGGTGGTTATCCCGGGGACAGGTGCTGAATCGTGTTTTTGCCATGCGTGTGGAATTAGCCCTGTTTTTGCAAGAGCACCAACACTGCCATGCAGATTGCTTCAAAAATCCTGAGTTCATTCTCATTTTAGCGTACATGGCTGATATATTCGCAGCTCTCAATCATCTCAATCAGCAGATGCAGGGTGGTGGAGTCAATATCATGGAAGCGGAAGAACACCTGAAGGCTTTTCAAAAAAAGCTACCGTTATGGAAACGACGAACAGAGAACAATAACTTCGCAAACTTCCCGCTTCTGGACGACTGTGCAAGTAAGATCGAAGATGTGTCTGGAATCGGAGATATTTCTGTATCCACGGAACTGAAGCAAACAATTGCCATGCACTTAGATGAGCTTGCAAAGTCTCTCGACGGATATTTCCCTACAAGAGAGTCATATCCAGCATGGGTGAGACAGCCGTTCACGTTTGCTGTTGAAACAGCAGATGTCAATGATGAATTCCTCGACGAAATCATTGAAATTCAGCAGAGCCAGGTTCAACAGCAACTCTTCAGAACAACAACGCTCTCAATGTTTTGGTGTCGACAAATGA